GCACCTCCCAGGCCCTCAGGTGCTGTCTGGGCCTGGAGGCTCCTTCTGGGAGAAAGACCTTCCCCCTGAGCTTCTTCTCAGGCTCCTCCCGCCTGTGCAGAGGGGCAGTCCGGGGTAGAAAGGGAGATGGAGCGGGAAGGTGAGGCATGGCTGGAAGGGAGAGATCGAATTCAGAGTGTCAGGGACCTGAGATCGCTCCCCCATCAGACCCCTGATGAGTCCGGCAACTCCCAGCTTCTCCCAAGATCAGCTCAGTCCTCCTCCTCCCACCCCCCGCCCCCCACCCCACCTCCCAGCGAACCGGGCTGCCAGTGGGCAGCACCGGAATGCAAAGGGAGGAGGAACTCCGAGTCTCTGGGGTTGATGAGGTTGATGGAGAGACCAGGGCGAATGAGCTCAGGGCACCGAGAAAGGCAGGACACCAGCCCAACCCGCTCCCAGGCCAGTGCCTGGGCGGAACGTGAGCGTGGGGGAGGCGGGGAAACAGGCCTGACCCCCCCAGGGTGCCCGAGGACAGCGGTGCGCCCGGCCTGCAGGTGGGAGGGGGGCGGGCAGGCAGCCGGGCCTCCGGAGCTCCAGGGCTGCAGCCCGCGCCCTTGCACGTGGGCACGATCTCTGGCGCGCTCTGGCGCCCCCTCGGAGGAGTGCGAGGCGCCTTTGCCCTGCCTGGACCCCAGCTCCTGGCTCCCAGGACCCTCACTGGCAGCCCCGGGCCCTCCTCACCACCCTCCCCCCACCCCTGCTCCACCTAGGGCAACAGGCACTAATGAACAAAAGGCCAATTAGAGGCTGGGGCGCGGCTGATGAATGGACCTTTCGCTTTCAAGTGTGGCCCAGCCTCGGGTTTCCTGGTGGACGGGGTCTCGCCTGGGGAAGCCGCCTCCCCTGGCCGGGTCACTCCTGGGGTCAGCAAGTTCTCAAAACTCCCACTTCCCCCAGCTCCGGGGCTGACGTGGGGAAGTAAACCGGGCGGTGGGGGGAGCCTGGGACAAGGCGAGGCTGTGGCCCGCAGCTGGGCCTCCATCCAGCCCATCAACGGAACGCTGCAGCCCCGCTCCCCTCCCGCCGCCGGCCGTCCCCTCCAGCCGCTGGGCCGTGGCTGCTCTGAACCGGCAGCAAGTAAATCGCACCCTGATCGCCGCCGGAGTAATCCAGGCCGGCCTGGGAAAACGCAGCTACGAAAAAACGGCCCTTGTTTGCCAAACTCCGGAGCCAGGGGTGCGCGGTGGGAACTGTACCCCAACTCAGGCCTCCTCCACACACACACACACACACACACACACACACACACCACGCAAGCCTGGGTCCCGGGAATCACGCAAATACTGCCCGGGCTCCGGGCATAGGCACCATCCCACGGGAACCCCCATGCAAACAGGAATGGTTACTGAGAGAGACACGCTGAGGTCAGTCCACCGTCTGGGTCACAGCCGTGGCCCGACGCCACCGTGCAGTCTACACTAGCGCAGGTTCCATACACAACTGTGCCCTCGGCACTCTCACCGCCAATGCCCAGCTCCACGCTCCTGCCCAGCTCCGTGCAACCTCGGTGCCCACGGAGAGCTGGGCAGCTGGGCACTCACAGCTACACACGCAGCCTGGACTCTGCAGCCTCTCCCGCAGTCAGCAGGATCAGCAGCCACACGCTGCCCTACGTCCTGGCTGAGACACACAATCACACCGCCACACAAACACAACCGCTTCACAGCTCTAACTCACCCCCCCCCCGCCCCACCTCTGCAAACCCTCACGTCACACCCACACTCTCACTTCCACCAGCCACTGCACCCGTGCCGCAGCCCAGCCCACAGGACCCGCCGAAGATCAGGGCCCGGCCAGGCCTCCCGCCGGCCAGAGGCTCTCCCTCGGCGGCCCTGGCGTCGGGGGCTTTGTTTCCTGCTGCTCGAGGCGGGGGCGGGGAGGGGGGGGGGGCGGGGAGGAGCCGAGGTTCCCAGGCGGCGCGCAGGCCCAAGCCCCCTGTCTGCCCGGCCCGCTTGGCCGGGCTCTCCGCTGCCACAATCCGCCCCTGGCGCAAAAGTGGCCGGGCAGGTTCCGGCCTCCGCCAATGCGCCCGCGGCAGCTCCGCTGGCCTCGCTGCCAGAAGCAGAGCCAGAGGGAGCTGAGGCCACCGGACTCTGCGGAGGAGGAGCGGAAAGGGGTCATGCCCCCCCCTGGCGGGGGTACAAGGGGCGGGGGACAAGGTTTCCCCCACCTCCAGAGTTGCTGGTGCCTTGAACCACCTTCCCCGCAGCCGGGCCCCGGGCCCCTTCCCCAACTCAAAAGGCACGCTGAGCCCACCTGTACCTCGAAGGAAGGAGAAGATAGTTGAGGCCCAACAGGCAAAATACACCCCTTTCCACTCTCTCTGGGAAGTGCAAACTGACCTGCCTCTCCTCTCCCCAAATCCACAGAGCACAGGGCGGAGGGCGGAAAGGAAGGTGCGCTCAGGGATGGCCCACAGGTCACCAACAAGGGAGCCGACATGGATCATACATGTAAACTGCATTCCGATGTTGGCAAACAGGCAGGACACAAGGCCACAGGCGTGCGGTTTGCCATGGTCAGGGAGGAACACAGAAGCTGGCCCTCGATGCCCACAGAGCCCTACCGGGCATCCAGGGCTGGCACCCATAAAACACCAGGACCCAGGCCTGGGGGACACACAGCTCCCACGCACCCCTGGTGCTGGTCCGGAGGGCTGCGGCCCAGCCCATGCACACGGCGGAGAAGGGGACGCAGCCACGGGGCACGTGCGCCCGCACCCTGCCCCGCACCCCGTGCCCTGATAGCCATCATCGTGGGATGGCATCTCGCAAATATTTATATTCTCCAGCGCCACGGCAGCCCGCGTCCACATTAGACGTCCTAATCCTGCCACTTTAAATAGATGAATTAATAAAGCAAACGAGCGGCTCATAAGCTGGCTGTCCTGCCTTCTGGAGGTGGGGGAAGGACGCGGGAGAGTGCGCCAAATTTGTTTGCAGTGGATCAAGGCGAGCCGCCTCTGCTTCACTTTCTTTATCTTAATTCCGACTTGAAAAGATATAATTATCTAGTTTGAACAGAGCTGCTATCAAATCCTTCTCCGGGCCCGGGGAGGGGGGCATTGGAGTGGATGGCGGGCCTCTGAGCCGCTCCGTGCAGCCGGAGATAGCGCGTAATGAAGATGTGGAGGCCCGAGATACAAAGGGCATTAACCTCATTAGCATGAAACCTTTTCTTCCTACCATTGTGGGACCCTTCCAGCCTCCTAATCCCCCCTATTTTCAAAGCTCGGTTTGTAATAAAGCTTTTAGGTGGGTTTTTTTTTTTTCAAAGCTAATGGTATTCTCTGATGGTTTTATTGCCGCTACACTACATAGGACGTTGACCAAAAAAAAAATCTTTGTCACACCCCCCCTTTTTTTTCTTGTACTTAAAAAAAAAAGTATATGGTTCTTGCAGGAATCAACCTTGGATGAAATTGGGAAATGTTCTTCTTGGAAAGGCGGGTCTGCATTGCAGGTCTGTGCTCCGGGTTCCAGGAAGTTTGGGTTTCGGCGAGTGAGTAGAAAGGAAAGGTAACTTGTCCAGACACAAGCATGGGGTGACGGAGCGGTGACCGAGAGAACTCTGGGCAGCCGGCGTCACGAAGGTCTAGCTGGCCATGGGGCCGAAATTCCCAGAGCAGCACCTGTCCCTTCACTTCCAGAGACAAGCCTGGGTCTCCTGGGGCGGCCCCTCTTGCCACCTCTCTCCCCTCCAAACCTCCTGCACCCCAAGTCTCCCCACAACTTATATCCCTTCCCAGGAGTCTGCGTGAAAATGAGCACCCGGAACAGCCAGGGTTCTGGAGAGGAAGGGACATGGGGGGGGGGGGGGGAGGAGAGCAGGCAGAAATAAAGTAAAAAGAGGGAGAAAGATCAAGAATGCATTCCGTTTTAAAAGAGAGGACGGGGGGGGGGGGGGGGGGAAGAAAAATTTCCACAGTGCCCCAACTCCCCACACGTGCACAGAATGTCTAATCTTAACTTTCCAAGGCAGGATGTTAACAAAGCTCGTATTTTTGCCCTGCATTGTAACTTGGCCTTATCGCAGTGTAAAGGGTGGGGAGATTGTCCTAAATTATGTCCAGGCAGCCCCCCTGGATCTGTGGATTAAGAGATTAAAGGGGACCACTGGGCCAGGCCTCCTCTTTCCCCTTCATATTCCCGGTATGATAATTGCTTAAACTGATTTGCACTTTCACAAAAGCTCGCAGGGCGCTTTGTAGCTCGAACAGAGCAGACGAGGTTTCTCTATCAATGGAAATAAAACTGATTAATGCAGCCTATCAGGATAAGAAGCAAATGAAGCATGCAAAAACAACCCCGTACCCCAGAAGGGAGGGAGGACGGGGCACTGGGGGAGCGAAGTTTCCTCCGAGACTGGTTACAACTTTTAACGTTAAAATTCAGAGGTGGAGGCTCCTCCGGACTCTGGGCCCTGCCTAGCACCTTCCTCAGACAGGGGACAGTGCGAGAGGAAAGAAAGGAGGACAGACAGGAGAGAGGGACAGAGAGATGGAGAGAGATTTGTACTTTGGGGTTTCAAGTCAAAAACAGTTTATAAGTCGCAGGATTCTGATTCTGCCAGGTGTTTTCCCCAATCCTGACAAAATATTCTTCAATACACAACTGTGTGCTTGGATTTTTTTAAAAGCGGACCGGAGGTGGACAGAAGGAGGCATGCTTAACCTGCCATCCAAACTACACTCCCTCGCTAGGCCTTGCAGTGGTCGAATCTCTGGTTGGAGAAACTTTTTCTCCCGTCCCTTTTCTGAGGGACTTATCCTAATCGTCTCCCCTTTCCACCCTCATCTCTCTTTAAAATGCCCCAGAAGCCATCGGTCTGGCCCTTTTGAAGGTGGCGAGGCCGGGTTTCTTGCGCCTCTTTGGGGAAGAACCACACTCAAATTACCGGACATAGTTTTTACAGAAGGAAAAAAATAACTGAGTTTGGTTTCCCCAAGACAACTACTCTGAGGGCATATTGATAAATCTTTATTGACAAAATATTGACATTGACATACTTCTTGGAAGTATATAGTGTGTTAGAATTCTAACAAATTAACACAAAACACAAAAATATTTACATTCTGGTATAGAAGACATTAAGGAAGCATTTGTCACTCTCTTTAGTAAGTCTATGATCTTGGAACAGAAACTCAGTGCTTGAAAACCTGCGCCATGTCTTTGGCCACACTTAGCATCATCCCCGCTAACTACAGTCCTCCGGTTTTTGCCATTGATCAATGATCAATTGATCGATCAATCGATCGACTTCAAGTTTGGAATGGCCTTTGCAGTCAATGGTTGAACTCAGCCAATTATCTCCAACCACTAAAAGGAGTTTGCTTCGTATTTTAAGCCTTGGGATGTTAGGAAAGGGAATGTCCAAGAAATAGAATTAATTTAGGTGTGTCTTTTCCCCCCAACACAATTCCTGACTCCTCTTGTGGACACCCTCCCCAGCTACCTCCCAGCCCCCCCATCCGGCTCCCCATTTCTCAGTAAGAGGACCACTATCGCTGAGCCTACTCATTTAGCTTTCACGATCACTTTGACATCAGAAAGTATCAAAAAGTTGTTTACAGACTTGCACATTTCTCAAAAAAAGAAAAAAAAAGAAAACTCAAAATCAAAAGCACACAGAACCTGTCTTTAAAAAGGAAAAAAGAAAATCACAATTCACTTTCTGTTTTTAGACACCATCCGCCAGACAACTGCTACATGCAATTCAAGTTTTTGGACACGTGTGGGATGGGGCTGGCTATGAAATTTCGACCACCGTTATTATTACTAATTATTTTTAAAGTTTTGATGGGGGGGGGGAGAAACACTGTGAAGTGCAAAATAAAAAGTCCTGTGCCTGGTTGGGTTTTGTTTGTTTTTTCCTTTTATCATCATCATCATCTTTTTTTTTTACAAAGAAAAAATAAAGTCGGACTGCGATAAACGGAATACCTGCCAATCATCTTGTCCCGCTGGTTTGGCGTTTGACTGACAGCTCCCCTTTGTCAGAGCGCCCGCCGCGCCGCCACATTTAGATCTTTCGCTCTCTCTCTTTCTCTCTCTCTCTCTCTTTCTCTCTCTCTCTCTTTCTCTCTCTCTCTCTCTTTCTCTTTCTCTCTCTCTCTCTCTCTCTCTCTCATTCTCTCTCTCTCAGTTGCCTCTTTAGACAAGGGTTGCATGTTGATCAAGGAGCCTCCATCCTCTGCCATCCCGGCACGGCCTCTGATCGGGACGGTGAGCCCTCGCCGCCCAAAGTCTGCGCCGCGCTCCGCGCTCTCCCTCCGACTCCCTCTCCCCTTCCTGGAGGCGAATGTGTGTGCGCACGGTTGGTTTTTGTTTCGTAGGGTGGTTGTTGTTTTTTTTTCCTCTTCGTCCTCCCTGTCTCAGTTTTGCTCCGCTGTGTCCGTTTCTCCGGGGTTCGGTGTGTGTTTTGTTTTGTTTTTAATCGTCTGAGGTCACGTCTATTTCCTCCGGGCTGGCCTGCTTGGTGGCGATCCTCCACCGGTTAATGTGATGCGTCCCTTTTTTCTTTTGCTGCGAGTCTGAGCCTTCCTCCTCCAGCTTCTGCCTTTTGAACTTCGTCCTCCGGTTCTGAAACCATACTTTTACCTGCGGGCCAGAGGCAGAGGGAACGAGTTAGTTCCTCCTCTTCGGCTTTGCCAGGCAGCCCCCCGAGGAGGCGCGCAAGGCCAGGCCCCCCAAGCGGCGTCCTGCGGGCCGGAGCCCAAAGCCCTTAGGGGAGCGGAGCGGCGGGAGTGGGCAGGAAGCCTGGCTCCCGGCCCTGTGTCTCCGGAGTCACTTTCCCGGGCTGGGGACCCCAGGGCACAGTCCTTCTCACTGAAGGGGACACCCTCAGTCCGCTGAGCACACATGCAAACCCCTATAAAAGCCCTGAGAAAAGCCAAAAGCGACCTGTCCCAAACCCCCTCTACCTAGCCCGGCAGGAGAGACTCCGCTGCGGCTGCCCAGGCTCCCTGCAGGGCCCAATGTGCTTGCTCTCCTCTGTGGGTTTCCGGGAGCTCGCTGCCTAAATATAGCGCTTCCTGTGCAAGGCCCCGGGCCTGGGCAGGCAGGCAGGTCTGTCTGGGCCTCCTGCTCCTTGCCCGGGATTCTTGCAGGTGAGCAGGAGTGGGTGCTAGTGGCTGCTGGAGGGAGCCAGGAGGGACCTGGGAACCAACCCAGCGATTCTCCTGCAGCTAGGGGAAGAGGCTCAAAAGTGAAAGCTTCTGAAAGACCTCGGGATAGAGGGGGAGAGAGAAACGAGGAGGAGGAGAGGAGCCAGAGAGAGCGGGGCCTTCTTGTGCCCCCTCCTGAGCGGCCCCAAGACTGGGCAGAGCCAGATTCACATCGCTCACCCCCAGGGCTCCTCTGGCAGCCCTGCCTCGGAGCTGCTGGAGGTCGGGGAGCAATGAGGAAAGCAGTACTGGGGCTGCCATCCCCATCGCCCCCTGGGGAACCTGGGCAGTGGGTCTCCTCCAGAGACCGGAGCAGCCAGGAAGGCAGGCTCCCTCTCCACCTGGTGCTGCGGGGCAGGTAAGGAAAATGGAGGCGGCCGCACCTCCCTTTCCCCATCGCACCGCCACGGGCCCGCGGAGGCCGGCTCCGGTCCCTCCTCGGAGAGTCCAGCCCAGGTCCCAGCGCGTCCTCCCCGATGGCCCCCCAACCCCCCCCCCCAGAGCGCCCCCACGAACAAGCGGAGCTGGGACGAGGCTGACTCTAATTTGCTTTGAGTTTGCTAATTGAGGGGAGGCCGCTTCCCTGCTCCCCGGCGCTCGCCCCAGGCGCGCGGGGCCTGACACGCACACAAAGGCCGCGGGCGGCGCGGGCAGCCAGCGGACAAAGCCCCCGCCGCCCGGCGCCCCGGGGTGCATCGGCCCCGCCGGCCCCGCACCCGCACCGGCCCGCCAGGCCCTCCCGGGTTTTGTCCGGGGCGGGAGCGGGGAGAAACGTTTTAAAACAAAAGCCTCGCGACCTCTGTGCACCGCCCAGAAAAACTGTTACCACTTAATCCGCACGGAAAAAACAAAACAAAAAAAACAACGTTACTGTGTGCCGAGAACTCTGACCCCGCCCTGCGGCTCCGCGTCCAGCAGCGCCTACTGTAGCCCTGAGCCCCCCGCCAGGCCCCAGCGGGGACCCCGCGGCGCCGGAGGGTCTGTGGGTCCCAGCTCCGCAGCCTCCCCGCTCTGAGTCTCTGGTTCAGGGGACGCACCCTCGGTGCGCGGCCTCCGCCTCCCGGCTCCCCATCCCTTCTCGGGGAGCAGCTGGGTCTGTGTTTGCGCAGAACTTGCCTTTAACCCGTTCCCGGGCTTCTCCAGCTTGGACACCCAACATGCCTACACCCCCACGTGCTCTCCCCCTCTTCCTGGACCCCAGCCGGGTCCCCAGACTCTGGCCAAAAGTTTCCCCCAAAAGAAGTGCTTCTGTGTTCCCCAGGAGCTGAGCCCAGCGGGCAGAAGGGGCGATCCAGGCCGCCCCACCCACTCCCCAGAGCCTGGGGCAGGTAGAGCCTGGGGCAGGTAGAGCCTGGGGCAGGTAGATCCTGTGGTCCCTTCTGGAGACCCTGGGAGCCTGGCACCTGGAAACTTCCACACCCTGAGCGGGGGGCGTGGAGCCAACTCCCGGGCCCAACGGCGAATGCCGGGTCTGGGATCGGAGCTGGTGTGCCGGCTCCGGGGTCCGGGATGGGTCGGGGGTCGGCGCCCGGGCTGCTCACCTGAGTTTCCGTGAGGCTGAGGCTGTGCGCCAGCTGCTTCCTCTCGGCGCCCACCACGTAGTGGTTCTTCTCGAAGGCGTGTTCGAGCCGCAGAAGCTGGGACGGGGAGAAGGCGGTTCGGATCCGCTTCGGCTTTCGGGCCAGCGCGTTGTGCAAAAGGAAGCTCTCGGGGCTTGTGTCGTTCCCTGCGGGGGACACAGCACAAGTCCCATTAGGGGGTGCGGGGGGGCCGGGGGGCTGGCCCGGGCCGCGCGCTTCTCAGGAGACGGGCTGGTGGCGGGACACCGCGCTGGGCCGGTGCGCAGCCCTGACGGCTGGGCGGCTGGGGTGCGGGCACCCTCCGGAGGGGGTCCTGGCCCGGCTGCACCGCCCAGACCCCGCCGGGCTCTACCTGGGCGGCACCCACCCCGCAGCTGCCCCTGCTGGCGGGTCCCAGGCTCCTGACCTCCGCCGGCCTCGCCACCTCTGAGCCGGGCGCCCTGGGCAGAGGAGGGGGCACCTGGGACAGGCCCGGGGATGGGCGCCCAGGATCCCAAAAAACGGCGGCTTTCTCCTCTTTCTCACCGCAGGGAACTCTGACCCAGGTTGGCGAGGCAGCAGACGCATATTCAGAGTTTTTCTCGGGGACTTGTTTTTAAATTCTACGGTTAAGTGTTTCCCCTCCCGAGAAGCGCAGAGGCCCGGCGAGTCTTTGCAGCCGGCGGTGCGCTCCGCTCCTGCCGCTCCGGCCTCCCGGGACCCGGCTCCCCCGCTGCCCGGCTCCGGAGAACTGGGAGGCCCGGGCGAAGGGATCGAAAGCCGGGACTTAGGGAGACGAGGGGGGCCGATAGGACCGTCCACGACCCCGGAAGGTCCCAGCTACTCCGGGCCTGGGGCGAGGACCCGGAGCGCGGCTGGCAGAGGACGCGGAAAGGGAGCCCGCAACTTTGCGAGCAAAGCCAGAGTTTGGGGTTTTCTCATCGGGGTGGGAAATAGAGCCGCTGAAAAGCCCAAACGAGGAAGAACCCGCAGCTCAGGCTGGAATGGAGGCAGATCTAGTCCGGGGAGGAAGGCGATCGGCTGTTTTTGTTCTGTTTCTGAAATGAGGGGCGGGGTGGCGTGTACCCCAGTCTCCACTCAGGCGGGAGCGCAAAGGGTTAAAACGGGGACCGGCCGCCGGGTATCGATCCGCTGCCGCGGGGGGTAGGTCTCTCCTAAACTAATCACTCGCCTCTTTTCCCGGAGTTTTAACTTTGTTTTTTCCACCCCCACCCAGAAAAAAAACACAAACAAAACAAATAGCAGGGAAGGTAGACACCCAAACAGAATTTTCTCCAGCCCTTGCGAGACTCGGCTCCTTTCTCTTAAAAAGAAAAAAAAATAAGTAAATAAATCAACAAACAAAACCCAGACCGAACCTGCCTTCCCGACGCGGCGGCTCGGCGCCCGGATGGAAAGGGCCGAGCCTCGGCCGGTTTCAATCGGCGCGGGTTCCCGCCCCTGCGGGGCCTCCCAAAAGCAGGAAAAAAAGAAAAAGAAAAGAAAAACCACACGTACAAATCCCTTGATTTTTGCCCTGGTCGCGCGGGGGGGAAAAACAACAACAAATCCCTGGATTTCTGCCCCTGGCGGACGCGCGGGTCCCCTCGCCGCCCCCAGAAAGTCGGAGCCGGAGAAGTCAGGGGTGGAGGCTGCAGGGACGAACGGGGCAGAACGCGGTCGGAGGCGCCCAGTCCTCGCCCCTCGGAGCCAAGGCTGCGCGGGCATCATCGCCGAGGAGACGTGGAGCCTGGGGACCCCGCGGGGTCCGGGGCTCCGTGGCGGCCGGCACTGGACCCGCGAGGACTCGCCAACCGCTAGCGAAACTGGAGACCCACCCCGCGGCGCCCGGCCCCGCGCCGGAGGCCCCGTCTCCGGAGGCACCTCCACGCAGGCCTTGCCCCGCGCCCACCCGCCAGCCCCGATCGCCCGGGCCCCGGCCGTGCGGGGTGCGGAGCGCTCGGCAGCCCCCCGCGCGCGGCGTGGCACGTACCTTGGAAGCGGTGGCCCAGGTACCGGTAGCGGTGGATGAGCCACGGGTAGAAGGTGGACGGGTCCCGCTGCTGCGAGGCGAAGAGGGGGTGTGGCGAGTGCGAGGAGGGCAGCGGGTGCGCGGCCAGCGCGTGCGGCGGCGGCACGGGGTGCACGGGCACGGCGGCGGGGTTGGGCGGGTGGGACACCGCCTCGGCGAACACCAAGTCCGGGTTGGAGTAGACGCCCCGGCCGGAGGCGGCGGCGGCGGCGGCGGCGGCGGCCGGGTGGAAGCCGTTGAGGAACGGGTTGATGGGGCTGGAGCTGGCGTAGCTGAGCGCCGCGGGGCGGATGGGGTCCTCGGAGCGCGAGGCGGGCAGGGGGCTGTCCTTGGCCACCAGCGACTCGATGGTGAAGCAGCGCTTGGGCGCCGGCTGGAACATGCTGCGCCGCGGGGCGGGCGCCCGGGGCTCCCGGCCCGGCTCGCGGAGACCGTGGCGCGCCGCTCCCTCCGCCGCCCGAGGACCGGCGAGAACGGGGGACTTGTTTGTTTGGGGGTGGGGGGTGGGGGGGAGGAAAGGAAGAAAGAAAGGAAAAGGAAAGGAGGGGGGAGGGGGAGGGAGAGGCAACGCCGCCGAGGATCCCGAGAATCTTGCACCAAAACGCGCCCAACCTGGAGAGACGGGAGGAAAAAATCCTTCCAGAAGAATTTGCAGGCGTGGATTGGGGTAATTTTTTTTTTTTTTTTTTTTGCGAGATGGCGTGGGGTGGGGTTGGGGGGGGGATCGGAGTTCGAAACGGGGAGGAAGGAGGGGGGAGTTTCTTGGGGGAGGCCAAAAAAAAAAAAAGTTTTCTCTCTCCTCTGCAAAAGGCGCGGGCAGGGCGCCCTAAGTCCAAGGACAATCCATGCAAGTGTTCGCTTCTTCACAAGTTGTGCAAACGATTTGTTAGTTCATGAGCCTAATTAGTGCGGGGATCACATAAACAGCTTCCTCCGAAGCCTGGTAAATGGCTTGATGATTGGTCGCTATTACTCGCCCCGAGGTGGAAGGGGGGGAGACTCTTTAAAGTGCGTCAGAGGGAGGCGAGCGCCCGGGAACCCGGACGCCTGGATCCCGGCCCAGAGCGGAACGGAGTCGCCGCCGCCGCCGCCGCCTCGCCTCCCGCGCCCGCCCGGCCGCCCGGCCTCGCCGCGCCCTCTCCCCGCGCGCCCGGCTCACTCGCTCCCGGGCTCCCGCTCCGGCTGCGCCTCCTCCTCTTCTTTCGGCCGCTCTTCCTCCTCCTCCTCCTCCTTCTCTTCCTTCTCCTCCTCCTCCTCCTCTTCTTCCTCCTCCTCTTTCCCCACCTCCTCCCGCTCAGCCACCGCCTCCTCCTCCTCCTCCAGCACCACCACTCCCTCCGGGCACCCGGGTCCCTGCAGAGTCCCCGGCCGGCGCAGCCTCCTCCGCAGCGGCCTCCCAGATCCCCCCGAGCTGGTAGGACGGACGGACGGATGGACGGATGAACGGATGGACGCACAGGCGCTCGGATTTCTGGCGCCCCGCGCTCCGCTGCTGCCCCTGCGCCCCCGCGGCCCCGGGTCAGGGGAGCTGGGCTCGCCCCGGAGCACCTCGAGGGTAAGCGGGCGGGCGGGGGTTGGTTCTGGGTGAGGGTTACCACTAGAACCGTTGGGTCCTTTCTACCCGCACCCATGGCCAAATTGCGGGCAGTCTCCTAGGTGAGGAGGGAACATGGTGGGGGGGGGGGGGGAAGGATGCTCGCGCAGCCCCGAGGTCTCAGGGTCGCTGCGTTTGCGATCCGGCTTGCTTTCCTGTTTGCAAGTTAAGACGGAGTGGACGGCTCTGCTGGGGCAGTGAGCTTCCTATTCGCCCCCAAGGCTCACGATTCCTGGGACACCCCATTCCCCAAAACCAGTTCCTTCTGTGGGATGGGGGCGAGGTTCCAAGGACAGGGGAGAAGCTGTGAGGTGCTGCTCTCATCTTTCCGTTGTCGCTGTTGTTTTGTGAGTGTTACAATTACCATGATTGTTGCCGTTGTTGTTATTATTATTATTATTATTTTGCCATCTGTTGTCCCAGGGGCGGGGTGCTGTGCAGACCTAGGGCTGCTCACAACCGGGGACTGCAGATCGCACCTCCGGTTCCAGGCCGTGTCCGCATTTTCGAGCTCGCCTTAGGTTTTGGGATGATTTTAGGGCCGCGTTCCCTCATCCCCATTGGCTCTCGCAGAGGCATAATTATGATCACATCCCCCAGGCTGCTGGCGCTGCTCTCTGTTTATTGGTGGTTAAAGATCTATTATCTATTCATCAGCCGCCTCTTTTTTTTCTTTTTTCTTTTTTGCCAATTACATTCTTCAAGAAAAAAAAAATGAAGTACCAGCAGGTATTTTGCACTTTTACAATTAATGACAAAAAGAAATCTGGCATCCTTTAAATCATGACTTGGGAGCCCGTGTCATTTCTGTTAAGAATGAAGAGATGCCTGTGTTTGGTGACTAGGTTGCCGTGAGACCCTGAAAAAGTCGATTGAGAAGGGGGGTGAGGGGGGGAATGGGGGAGAAGAGCAAAGTCATGTGATGCAGGCAGACCGACACCAGATTGATCCATGGAGGGGCCCAGTTCTTAGGCCTTGTCTCTCCTCTCCCTCACCTGCCTCCCTCCCCACCCTGGGTCTCCCTTGTCCTTCTCTGGTTTTACCGGCTGTGTGTTTCTCCACTTTATTACAGGCATGGTTTGTTGGGGTGAGGGAATCCAAAAAGCCCTTCCAGAAAACTCTCCAGGCGAGAGAGGCGTTAGGAGGGCACTTTCTGGGATTGTCTAGGCGCCTGACCTTAGTGAGGGGCCCACAGAGACCCTGTGTGCTGCCCCCTCCCCTCCTCCTCCCTTCCCTGGGAGATTCACACACACACACACACACACACGCACACACACACACACACACACGTTCACACACCAGACAGGTGTGGCTTTTAGCTTTGTCCTCACACAAAAAAACCTGCCCCCGCCTCAGGCTGCACACCTCTGACACCAGCTGTGGGCAGGGGTCCCGGCTGGGTTTTCGTCTTGATTGGGTACTCACAGCCTTCCTAGGCCGCCCTCTGAGCCCCTTCCTTCTCCCATACCCAGGGATGTTGGAGGTTCCATCCAACCTCTTGGGATGCAGTGTATGGAAAGACGTTCCTCTCTGGGGCCTGTACCACCGCCCCCCCCCACAAATATTTTCTCTAGCTCAGAACCCCCCTCCTTCCAGGAGGCTGTAGGGACAGAGACCCCAACAAGCGAAGCCTGCGCAGACCCCTAAGCTGCCTGGGAGGTGGAGGTGTTTCAGCTGGGCCAGCCAGCCAGCCTGGAATGGAGGGAGAGGTCAGGCCTCCATTTCCAGTGCCAGACAGAAACGCCCAGCCTGGGCCGGCTGTAAGATCCTGGGGTGGAAGGGAGAGAGCCCACTTCTCCTTCTCCGTGGACGGCTCTTCGGGAAGGCTGGCGGGTCAGGCTCACCCTGAGGCCCTCCAAACTGACCCTTAGCTTCCACGTTGAAAACGGGGGGGGGGCGCACTAAAAGCCACCCCCAGGCTGCAAGGCTGGCAGTGACCACTCCTTGTGCAGTTAGTGATAGTGACCTTGGTGGGGATATGAGAGCAGATGACCTTGAGGGCATCCTTCGGTGTCTCAAGGTGTGTATTCCTAAGGGTGTTTCCCTCTTTGAAAACGCTCGGGGTGAGCTCTAAGGGGGAGTGGGCACCCCTTTAAACCCTTACCCCTCTTTGGCCAGAGTGTGTCTGGAGTCTCTTGGGAGCCCAGACCCCTCAGCCTTTCCCTCCAGGGGCAGAGGGCCCAGGCAGCTCACAGCCAGGTCTCCGCTAACATCCACTGCTGACGGCCCGCTGACCGCTGACCGGGCCTCACAAATCCTGCCGAGAGGGTCGGCTTTGCCAGGGGGCCTCACAAATCCTGCCCAGAGGGTCAGCTTTGCCCCAGGGACTCTAATTGTTGGGCGGTGGGCATGGGTGTGGCAGCTGTGGGCTCTGGTGCCCGCCCTCCTGGCAGGATCAGGACTTGCCAGTTCCTCTGCCTCCCTCCCCACTGGCCCCACGCCTCACCTGGACCCCCAAAAGGGGAAAGTGGGTTTCTAGGCAGTGGGGGATGGGGGGAGGCACTGGGCAGCCCTGGAAGCTGGCTAATCTATGCTAATTCATGCGCCCAGCCTGGAGATGCTTGGGAAGGTCTGTGCAGCCCCGCTGCTCCTAGGCTCCTCGGAGGCGAGGCAGCAGGTGTGGGGGAGGGGGAGTGGGGGAGAATTAACTAGGAAAGTAGGAGAGTAACTCCTTACCTACTGGCAGGTGGAAGGCAGCCAGGGCCCGGGGACAGTCTGGCCTCTGGCCTCCAGTCCCTGGCCTGGCAGCTGCGCACAGCGCACGTTGCTGGTGGCTGAGGCCTCGCGGCATCCAGCCCCTCTTTGTTCCTTAGCCGCCCTAGGAAGGTGAGGGCTTGCACAGGCAGCGTGTAGCGGGAAAGGGGGCTTTCTGACGGAACAAGGGGCTCCCTTTCCCCGTGGCCCAAGCATTCTGTAGACTCAGGAATCCACGCGCTGCAGGCAGCCAGTCCAGCAGACGTATAGTGAAGGTTCTAATCTTGGATCTGGCTCTTACCGACCCCGTGATCGTGGGCAACGTGGCAACCCCTCGGGATGTCCACGCTGTCCTCTGTCAAAATACGGCCAGCGGGGCCTGTTGGGAGAGTGATAGATCCCTCTGCTTTCTCGCGGTAATTGCATGTCTGTAGTAGTCATGTTTCAAAACTCGTAGAACTAACTGTACCGTGACAAAGGGTGATGTTTACCCAATAGAAGTTATACCTTATTATCCTGCTCCCTTCCCCCCCCCAAAAAAAAAGTCGGTCGGGGTGAACTTGGGCGAGTCACCTAAGCTTTCTGTGCCTCTGCTCCCTCTGCTGTGAAAGGGGAGCCCAGAAGAGCATCTTGGCCCCTGGGGCTGCCAGGGAGACCAGCCACGCAGAGTGGGCAGCGGTGCCGAGCACACCGTGAGCGGCAGTAAAAGTCACATCCTGTCCTTCCCTGATGTGGCTGTTGTTACTGCCACCTGCCCCCCTCCAGGGCCGGTGGCTGGACTTCAAGGCTGAACAAGAATCAGGCTGCACAAACATAACTACGGCTGGCCTCAAGCTCCTGCCATGAGCATCTATCTCCATGCTCCCTAAAAGCCCAGGACTTCCCTAGGAAGGTGTGAAGGTGAGAGGGGCCTGGATTCCTGGTTAGTGGGGGGGCACTGAACGGCAAAGATTTCTGGGGGTCGCCCCAAACCACCAGGCTGCCTGTCTTTGGAGGAGCAAATAGCAGTGCTGGGCCTGGGGGTCCGGGGTGCATGCGTGTGTGCACAGGTGCTAGCTGGGGTCTCTGCATGTGTGACCTTTGCGTTCTTGAGCCTCGGTGGTTTTCTCATCCGTGAAAAGGAAACGTCAATATCTTAACAGTCGTTGAGAGGAGTGCGTGAGCGAATGCCTGGCATGGTCACTGTTCATGGAAGACTACTGTTAGGCTGTGGCCTGGTGCGGTCCAGCCCACCCAGCGCACCCTGCCCTGTGCAGCTCCCAGCTGCTGAGACCCTCTGGCTGAGCCGCACTGAGAGCCAGGCAGGGGGAGCGAGGCCCTCAGGGAAGGGTGAGCCCATTCCCGGCCCTAAACTTGTGAAAGGTGTCCTGGCATGGGGAGGCCTGGGGCCGGCTAAGAATTCCTTCCTCCCCCTCCGATGCCCAGTCCCTGAGCCTCTCCGAACGCGCAGGGCAGCGGAGGGGTGGGGGGGGGGAGAAAGAAAAAACGAAAGCCTTAAAATGTTTGAAATGGTCGTGTCACATCCCTGTCTGGCCTCCTCCCCAGAGGCAGATGGATCGCTAGGCGGGCGCGGCGGCCTGGGACCGCATCCGCGGGCGCGCAGCGGCGCCTAGTGGCGGCGCCTAGTGGCGAGGCCCAGGGCCGTGCGCGGGGTGCTGGGGCTGCGCCCCACGGTTCCGCTCTTGGCAGGAGGGCAGTCCGGGCAGGGAGAGGAAGGCTAAGGAGGCTCCCCGGCCACAGAGTGGAGGGGACGACCTGGCAATGCGCCCCTGCCCCCTGCAGCAGCTCCAGCTGTCCCTATCCATCCACGCAGGAATCCCAGCCCCACTCGCAGGCGGGCTTCCTTCCGAGGGGCGCAATAACCGGGGGCAGATTCTGCTCCAAAAAGGACGAAGCGGTCCAGATGCCCGGTGCCAGCGCGATGGCCGGCTACCCCGCACACAGGGGGCCGCAGCAGCCTGAGGTCCCAGGTCGCACCGCCCAACTGAGATCGCTCAGAGAATGGGCCCCTAAGGCCTGCCCTGGGGTGGAGTCCGCAGGGCTGGGTTGTGCGGTGCGACTCGCCCAGCTGTGCGCCCCCTCGCGGCCGGCGAGGGCGCCCGGAGATGGGTCCTGGCGGTTACTGCGGAGGTGGAGTTCCATCGCCCAACGGGGAGGCCGCCCCAGCCCCCGCCTGGCCCAGGGCGCCCTCTCCCTTCCCCTCCTCCTGGGGTGTGTGGACCCGGTCGGTCCGGAGTAACCTGGCTTCTCCGGCGAGGCGAGGCCGTGGCATAGGCTCCGGGTTCGCTGGAAAACCCATGCGACGTCCATCGCGTGATTGTGCGGCGTTCATCTTGGGCCCTGAGCCCCGCCTCTGAGGCCCAGGCTGCAGGCAGCAGGCGCCTCTGAGCCGCTGGGTCTCCGGAGGTCTATCCCTTTGCAGAACGAGGGACCCCGCCCTGATGCATGGGGCCCGCACACAGGAGCTGACCGTCATCCCTCCTTCATCACGTTGAAACTCATCAACCCTCACACCTGCCCGGGTCCAAGGATCTCTTTCCGCCTCACCTGCCTTTACGTGAAAGTCTCGGCGCAAGGAAGGACAGAGAGGGACAGACAGACACGGACAGACAGACAGGCAGGCATTCGCGAATGTGAGGGCTCTCGCTCTGGCAACTGCCAGGACAAGGGTGGAGACAGCTCCAACCCCCTGCGCCGGCCCTCACCCCGTTGTCTGTTGTCCAGTTCCCCTCCTGGGCCCCAGAAGCGGCGGTTCCATTGGGCCACACGGGCCCTGGCTGTTGCTCCCGGAGACAGGTGGCTTCCAGCCGGCCCAGGGCCGCGGGTGGAGTAGGGAGGCAAGGGACGCACCTTCGGACTCCCCCGGCCGCCTCCTAAGTCTCCTCATCTGAAGCAGTTCCGGTTTGGTAGCTTGGGGTCCAGACCTTTAAGGAGGAGCTTCTTGGGGTTACGAACAGCAGTCCACCTTGGACACCAGGGGTGACTCCCATCAGCCCCTCTTTGGGGAAATTGTCACTTCTTTCAGAGCCTCCCATTTTCTTAGCAAGGGGATGCACGCCTTTTCTCTGGGCCTCCAAGGATCTCCCTGAAGTCGGGAGGGTGTGGGGAAGACTTAAAAGAACAATCCCACTCGCCTGTGCCCAGTTGTAGCGTTTAAAAGCGGGGTTGCCCATTCACAGGATCGCAGGGAACTGCACAATCTGGTGTGGGAGGGGTTAGGATACCCATTCTGCGGATGAGGAAACTGAGGCTCAGGTTACACAAAACGCTCTCACCTCTTGGCCGTCCATGCAGTAGTAGTTACTCCAGGGGGAATCCTAGGACAGTTCCTTCTCCCCTCTGCCGCCCCCTCCCCCAGTTGCCAACTCCTGCATTCAAGCCAGTACGAAAAGAGGGCAAAGAGCCCTGGCAGGCAGACGGGCACCCAAACCGTCTCAGTGGGGAGGCTCTGGCAGGCCAGGCCTCCGGGATAACTCCATGCTTGCTTGAGCCCACTTGCCCACCACTGCCCTCCAGGCGCTTTTCCCAGGCTGGCCTCTCCGCAGACACCTCCTGGGGCCTCACGCCCTGGTGGGGACAAAAGGACCCGCAGTGGCCACTTGGAGGCCGTGAAGGAGGGGGGATGGCCCAGCGCTCCAAGGCCGAGACCAAGACTCCCTGCATCCACACCCTGGCATTGTTCTTGTGGGCGACTCAGAGCAGCCCTGAAACCCCCCTGTGCCCAGGAAGGGTGCCTGTCCCCCCAACCCCCATCCCCACCCCCGTCCCCTGCGGGACAGAAAAGCAGGAGCAGGGCCTGAACTCCCTGGAAGCCAGCACCTGCAGGAGAGCTACTTGGCCATCAACCTGTGTCCCTAGCCCTGACCTGCCTTCAATGAGCTAGGGAGACAGAAGCCCGGGCAGCGGCTGGTGGTCGGGGAACCACCCCCTCCCATAAGGCAGCTGCCAGCCTCCGTGGCCAGGCAGCCCCCAGGGCGAGCAGTGAAAGTCCCGGCCCACAGCTGCCCTCTCTCCCCTGCCACATTCACATTCGGGGCCCCTGCCTCCCGGGGTTTGGACACCGGCCCCGCTCCCTTATTTGCGGCTGATCTCCTGGATGCACCGTGTGTGGCTCCCCCTCTGGCCCCGGGAGCCCAGGGCTGCGCGGCCAGCCTCTGGCGGCGGGGGGAGAGGCCCAGGGAGGCCCGAAGGGACCTCCAGGAGCCTGCGAGTAAGCGATCGAGGCCAGGGTGAGCCTCTGAGACCTCCCCGCTGGGTCCGGTGTGCATCCCTCCAAATCCCCCAATCCTGGCAGGCACCCGGAGAGGCCGGACCCCAGCCGCCCTGCGCTTAGCCGGCCGCGGGCCGCTCGCCCGCCCGGGGCTGCGCCGCAAAGGGTGGCACCGCGGCGGCGGCGGGCGGCGCGGGCAGGGACCTCATTGGTTCAATATTAGCTTTTCATTCCAGCCTATTGTGCCCGTCTGAGATAATATTGACTCTGAGGTGAGAGCCTGCAGACGGCGGGGCCTGGCTAACACTCCGGAGGGGAGAGGCCGGGAGCGGAGAGCTAAAGGGACTGCAAATAACGGGGCTCGCGCAGCGCCTGCGGCCCGCGGCCCGCTCCCTGCTCCCCGCTCCCGCCGCGTGCGCCCGGCGTCTCCGCAGCGGGTCCGGGGTCTGCAGGCCGCCTCGAGGAGGGGCCCTGAGCACCCCCATGGAAAAGATCCCCCGTTCCACACGCACCCCCTTTTCCAGGCCATGGATGTGCGGCTCCGCTCCTGGGTGACTCGGGGGAAGAAGGAATTCACACGCACGCTGTTTTCCGTTGCATTTCCCCTCTCCAGCGAGGCCATTCGTTAGGGGAACTTCCCCGCCAGCGCGGTTTTCCGCTTCCCGGGCGGCGCCGGGAGGGGAGCGAACGCACGCAGCCGGGTCCGGGCTGCAGGACTGGTGCGCGGTGCACGGAGATGGCTCGCCGCGCCTTCTGCTTCTGCTCTGGGTCCCCCCGCGGCCCCTCCGCGGGCTCCTAACCGCAGCACTCCAGGCTTCTGGCAGAGAAAGGTTCCTTTCCCTTTCCAAACGGCCTCCGCAGCCTGCGCTGGAAGAGGCGCTGTGTGCATCCGAGACAGACCAACAGACCCTTCAGCTTTCGGCTCCCACGACCCACCTGCAGCTCGGGGCTAGGGGTGCGGGGAGCGCGGGGGCGGGGGCCCTGGGGCCTGACCCCCCTGCAGCGTGACCTCTGGGAGAAAGATCATCTGGGAACTCGGTCTTTAGGGGTCTTTCCATCCACCCCGACACGTGTGGGGACCTGGGAGGCACAGGGACTTGGGGGAACCCTTGTGCGCCCCCCCCCCTCCTTCCCAGGTGCCCCGTGCTGAGCTGAGGCTCAGGGATACCCACCTACACCACCTTGACTACTTATTTCAAAGGACGGCATTCTGCTGACTGTGCATGTGACCTATCACACACGACATACACATAGCCCGTGTGTATTGTCTGTTATTTAACCTACTCTGTATTGTATGGTTCCCTCCTACGTGGTATTTAACATGGATTGAACAGCCAGTTCCTATGTTCCATTAGTATGATATTACGTATTTAACGGGTTGTGTGTTGTCTATGGTTCTGGACCTATCTTTCCATATATTTCATTTTTTATGTGTGTGTGTGTGTGTAAAAATATCTGGGGCGCCTTAATCTCCCTGCAAGTCCATACTCGATCGTTTGAACGCAACGTTATAAACTCCTAATCGAAACCACTTTACCCTCCGCGACGTCTTTATAACACATACCCAGGAGGAGTCCCATTTGGGCACCAGGGGAAGGCGGGGCGACGTCCCCTGGGCGGGGAGGGACAGCAGGTCCCCTCGGACACCTGGTTTCCCAACGCCCGTTCCCCGGGGACAGGGGGCCGCGCTCCGGCCGGGAGCCGCCTCCCCGCCCGCCGGCCGGCGCGGCTAAGGCGGTTTTGGTTTGGGGGAGGCTGTGCGGAGCCCGGACGGTCCCTGCACCCGGGCCATGAATTAGAAATGGATCTGGGTGCGCGGCATATGCTCAACCCCGGCGGCTGAGAGCACAGCGCGGCCCGTCACCCCGGCTTCTGGGCTGCGGGCACCGCGCTGCTGCCGGATCGGCCTCCGCGCAATGCGGGCTCCGGGCTCCGCGCTCCGCGCTCCGGGCTCCGGGCTCCGGGCTCCGGGCTCCGGGCTCCGGGCTCCGGGCTCCGGGCTCCGGGCTCCGGGCTCCGGGCGCGGCGAGTCCCCGCTCCAGCTGCCCGCCCTCCTGACCCCTCGCCCGGGGAGCGGGGATGGGGTGGAGGGGTGGGGAGAGGTGCTTGGGGCTGGGAGCGCCTGCAGATCAGATGGTCCCAACCCCAGTCCGCTCCCCATGGGGACTCCGAGCTGAAGGGCGCAGGCAGCGGGCGCTCCGGCGAGGGCAGGGCCAGGAGGGCCGGGAGATGAAGTTGGCATTTCGGATGCCCCTACGTTCTCGCTGCTTTAAAAGGCAGGAGCCGCATAGAGATGCAGCCTATGGAGGGGAAAGGGGAAAGGGAAGGAAAAAAAAAGAAATCCAAGTCAGGGCTGGGGGCTGTTTATTTCTTGAAGTCCCCTCTCCCCACCCCCCCTACCTGCGGGGGAACAATGGCAGAACAAAACAGTGACATTTGGTTAAAACATCAGCAAGAGGTTTGGGCTCCCCACTTCCAGCAAAACCCCAGATTCAACCAGAGACCAAGCCGCCCGCCCCTGACCTAGTGGGATCCTCAGCCTTGGCTAAAGGTTTTTGTGGGCTTGGAGGCAGATGCAGGCTGTGCCCTCCCTGCCTTCCCTGACCAGTGATGGGACTCCCAGAGTCTGTGCTAAGACCAACTAGGGATGGGGACGTGGGAAACCTCCCTCGCCTGTTAAAATAAAACACCGACCCTTCCCTTCTCCTTCCCTTCCCCAGGGGAGGCAGCCTCCTGGCCTGGCTGCCAGGGAGGCATCTGAGCACACATAGGATGCCAAGCCCTTCAGAAGCCGATCCTGGTGCCAGCCATGTGGGCATGCACCTCCCCCAGATCGGCTTGGCACCTCTGGCCCGGCTGCAATGCTTTTTCCATCCAGGTGATCCATCATGCCTGTGCCCAGTGGCTGAAAACTTTATTCGAATCGTGTTGGCGTCGGAGTTTCCACGTTTCTGCCCCTGCTCGGAGCTCCCGTGATCCCCGTTTGAAGGGGCAGCTGCTTAGGGTTCCCAGGAACAAGGCGCTCCTTGGTCCCCGGGGCATCTTGCATGAGTGACAGACCTTTTCTATCGTGGATGGCATCTGTCCCGGGTCCTGTGCTTCGAGCCTGTCTGAGGACCTACCTCATCTGTCCTCCCAGCAATCCATTAAGGCAGGTTCATTCCCACTTTCCAGATTAAAAAAAAAAAGTGAGGCTCTGACAAGTTCCGGGGTTCAGCCAAGGTCACACACACAGCTAGTAAGAGTGGGAATCTGGATTCCAATCCAGGTCTGTCTGACTCCCACACCCCCTCCCCATGCCCCTATCTCTTATTTCCTTCAAAATACTCCCTTTGCCCCATTGAGGAAGTTGGAGGCCATAGGTTGAAGCAAGAGATAAAACTTTGCTAAGTTCCCCTAAAAGTCAAAAACCACAGGACTAGAGCCTGGGTCCCTCATTCTGTCTGAGCGTCCATTTCCGCCCAGAAGGGATCATACACAGTTGGCATCAGGGAGTGTGTAGGATTTACAAAGGCCTTGCTCACACTTCCCTTTCGTCACCTCTCTGATCAGCCCCCTGAGATGGATATTGCCGTGAATGCTCCAGATCGGAGAGGCAGAAACGGGCTCGGTGAGGTTAAACAATGTGCTCACTGCCCAGCCAGCTCACCCAGAGCTCTGGCACCAGCCCCGGGCCGGCCCATTCTGAGCCTTCGGGCTCTGCAGACACCACATATGGGACCATTTAACCAGCGGAGTTAGGCCTTGCCTTCTGTTGTGAAATTGCTAGGTTGTTTTCTCTTTGTGTAAAGTGTTTCTGCAAATATTATTTCGGGACTCAAAACTTTCGCTTTATGCCTCTCTTCTGCCCATTCTTTCTCCATGGAGACAGGCACCCAGCTGTGTGGCAGAGCCATAAAGGAAACAGAACAAGAAGTTGCCCCTTATCTGTATAGTCAGAGACCATAGAGTATATGTAGATTTTATCTGCAATTGTATATTCTGCTCTATCACCATTTGCCTTATGCACCTCACTGAAACTCAGATGTGGGATCAAAAGTTTAAAGTTTAATCATTTGCATTTTTTCATGATTCTAATAGAATTTTTAACCCTGGCTTTAGGTGATGTTTCTTCTTTGCTAAGATCCAAGGGGAAGCGCTTGAGGTTGGAAGAATCCTTTGGTCAAAGGGTTCCATATCCAAAAGAATAACCAAGAATCCAGACAGGAAATGCCTTGAGGAGTCTTTGACCTTGAGCTGATGGGACCAAGAGCCTTGCCGGGGCTCCATCTCACACTCATTCTGTACCTCACTTATTCACTCTCCACAAGAGCCACATCCCCTCACTCCATAAACACACACACACACACACACACACACAAACTTTTGTTTTTGTCTCATAATTATAAAATTATGTGTATCTATTTTTTTATATTAGACCAGATAAGAAAAGAAGTAATGGTCACTTAAATTCCCACATCTTGGGGGGAAAAAAATAGATTCTGTTTAAACCTTTTTTGTTATCATTGTCCTAGTAAAGGAAGGGTGAAACAGGCTATGGGTGATTCTGTTTCTATGAAGTTTGTCACTGAAATTCAGCACAGTGGTTGCCCTGGGCGAGGATTGACTGGAAAGAGGGCTCTGGGTGAGTCAGGGAATTTTGGGGGGAGGGGGCGGGTATCTTGACTGGGGTGATGGTAACACAGATGTATACAGCTGCCAAAACTCCTCAGACTTTAGACCTATGTGTTTTCCTGTACATTTTTATATCTCAATCAAGAAAAAAGAAAGAATCTTGGACAAATACTATAGCAAAAGACCTAAGAAGAAGGGAAAAAAAGAAAAGCTACACACACAATACCTAGAATTTTACAGAAAGGGATACCAGGCTTCCCTCCACCCAGCCCCACCCCCAGGACACCAGCTTCCCCAGCACAAAACACCCTTTGCAGGCCTGCAGTTACGTCCAAGAGGGCTGGTCCTTGAGAAGGCAGTGCGATCTTAAGATGCTGCTGGGGCTCATCATCTTCCAGACTCCTTTTTTCAATGACTTGCATTTTCTGACAGGGGTGAGGGTCACTGGGAGCCTAACAAGAATCTGAGCTTAAGTCAGGAAGGATGAGCAAAGGTCGTAACTTTCGTAAAGATGATATCCCCAAGTTTCTTCCTGAATCACTGTCTAGGACTCAGCATGTTGTACTTGCTAGGAACAATGTTATAAATAATGGTCAAGGTTCCAGATTTGTCCTCCCCCAAAAATCTATTACACGCCTACTCATAAAAACACAGAATTTTAAGCTTGGTAGGAACATAAGTGTATTGAATTATTGTGGTTGTGTGCCATGGAAAAATGGGAGGAAACGAAAGCTCCCCCCTCCAAAAAAAAAAGACAATATACCAGCTTTCTGCTGCCAGGCATTATATTGGCATTTGGGATTTAAAAATGAAAAATACCTCGTGATATTTTCCCTCAAGCAACTCACTGTTTAAAAGACTATCTTGTAAATAAATAAGTGCAATAAAATCCGATAGGTGTTGTGATCCAGGTTGTTATAATAAAACAGAAAAAAAATAGAGTGAATGCTTGTTGGCAATGGAAAACAAACACGTTTTGGAAGCCCTGAGAGTTGACAGGATAAAGGAATTAGGTTAAGACCTAGAGAGAGACCCTGAGGGCCCATGGGGCCTGTGCAAGGGGAAGGACCCTAGACCTGATTCCACTTGGAATCGTTCGTCTTCCCTTTTCACTGCAATCAGGGCATGAGTTTGACTTCTCCGTCTTGCTTGGGGCTAGTTGGTTGTTTTTGACGTTTCATCTTATTTGAAGGGAGTAGAGGTGGACAAGACTCGCAATTCCAACGAGAACAGGAAAGAAAATGTAGAAGGTGCATCAACGTCGGAGAAGGAATGTCAGGTGGTTTGACCCAGCAGTGAGAGAGGAGGAAGCGTAAGCCCAACCCTGGGGCGGAAAGAAAAGGCCATTCTCAGATGGTGGATTGACTAGGGGCCCCGTGGTTGCTGTTTTGAAAGCAAAGGGGGTGAGGAGGCCCTGTGCCCCCAGAAGTATCGGACCTCCTAGAGCCACGTATTCATTCACTCAGCCCGTTTTGTGCACTTACCATGCGTAAGGAAATTTGCAATTGACCTGCAATTAGCAGGGTTAAAGACTTAGTGAATTACGGTCCTTGCCTTGGAGGACTAGTTGGGAAACTAGACAACTATTATTTAACATGCCCCCACATAAACTCTCCTGGTTTTCCCTCCTGATGCTGTTTTCATTAGTGAGTCGGGGGTAATAACGATGCGGGATCCAATAACCTCACAGGATTGTGCTGAGGGATCGGATGTGATTAGGGTATAGAGACCCCTCTGTAAAATGCAGGCTTCAGACAAGCATTCATCGTCAGAATACTTTTCAGCTATGTTCTCCCTTGCCGGTCAAGTAGTCATTCAACCAATATTTACTATGCACTTATGCTGAGCAGGCACTGTTCGGGCACGGAGTGGTGAAGAGAACATTCCCCAGTAGGACGTCTGCTGACATAAATAAAAAGATTCATCGGGCCCGGCTGGTGTGGCTCAGTGGTTGAGTATCGCCCTATGAGCCAGGAGGTCATGGTTCGATTCCCAGTCAGGGCACAAGCCAGGGTTCCGGGCTTAATTCCCAGTGTGAGGCATGCACGGGGCAGCCAACGATTTCCTGTTATCATTGATGCTTCTGTTTCTCTCCTTCTCCCTTCCTCTCTGAAATCAATAAAAAAAATATATTTTTTTAAAAGACTCATTAGCCTGTTAAGAGAGGCAGGGAGCTTGCAGCCGTGTGTGTGTGTGTGTGTGTGTCCACTATTTGTAATATTGAAAAATTGGAAATGATCTAAGTGCCCCTCAATGGGAGACTGATGTAAAATCATTCCGATGCTACACAGAAAACTGTACAGCTATTTAAAAAATGGAGGTGGCTCCATGTTTAGTATCGTGGAAAGGTCTTTAAAAGGAGGGGGGTGGGAAACAAATTCTGGAACAATACATCACATGATCCTGTTCGTGTTTAAGAAAAACACTGCCTGCTGGTGTGTTTATTCACACACTCATCTGTAGTTACAGTGAATACTTAGCTCTAAACCAGAGAGGGGTCCCGGAAGGATACACTACGCTGGGGGAGGACAGAAGAGCTCAGAGGATGGTGTGGGCCTCGCACGTTTACTGGCCACGATGCTAATCGCTGACCGTGAGAGTGCCCTCACGCCGTGCTTCGTGTCTCGAAACAAGGCGACACACGCCCGCGGGTGCCATCGAGTTAGAGCGCTCTGCATATGGATGGATGCCCGTCGTTACTCTTCTCCTCTCCTTTAATGTTGTTTTAATGTCTACGGGGAGATGGCTACACACGGAAGCGATGCTGCCAAGACATAAAAGGTGGAATTGAAACACGGTGTCCTGGCTCGGAAACCTTGCCTCTCCCCACCCCACCTGCAGTTTATGGTGAAACCCATTTTTAAGAGCATCCCGGGATGTTGGATAGGAATCCTTGATCTCCCAGTCCTGAGGCCCATGTAATTATCTCGCAGTTAAGTCGCTTCGGGATCTCTGCGATAGGTATGACTACATTACGAGCGCACCGTGCCTCTCCCAGCCGTAACTGGGCCCTGGCCGAGCCCGTGCGGGGGGTGGGGGTTCTGGTGTGTGAGGTGTGGCGCCCACCAGGGTCCCTCCGGTTTCCAAGCCGAGTCACGTGAGCTGGCCCCCGTGTTGGCTGACCTCTGCAGACCAGCTCCTGCATCCTGGCCGAAGGTCTCCCGTTGTCTCTCGGTGGACCTGGGCAAGTCTTCTCAGCCTCTGGGTGTCCGGCGAGGAACGTGACGGCCTATCACATCACCATCAACTCTAAGCCTCTGATTTTTATTGCAGCGAGCTGCTGCAGGAGAAAACCACATCTGTTCGCGTGCACCACGCCACGTGCTGGGACAGAGAAGCAGAACAGCCAGGTCCCTGGCCTTAGGAGCCGTGGCGGAGTCCGGTTCTTGGGGATGCTGAGGCTGGCGAAACTGCTAGAAAGGTGGCCCGGGAACAGAAGTGTGGAGACCCCCCTGCCCGTCTCTGCAGCCAGTGGCTCTCCATCTCTTAGAGAAAGCTGGCCTCCGTTCTCCCAGCACCTTGTTCTGGAAATAAGAACACGGTGGTCCCTCCAGGGGCTGGGTCACTTCAGGGCCTAGAGACATCATGTTACAGTAGGACAAGAGTGTCAGGAGTGGTGACAGGAACAGCCTCAGGTCAGCGTGAGCTCTAGAAGGACAGGAGGTGGCCGCTGGGTTCTCACAGCCCATCCACTGACCTGGCAAACTTTTATTGAGCAACTGCTATGTGCCAGGCACTCAGCTAGACTGTGGGAGCGCCGTGGGAACCAGGCAAACGTATGCCTTGTATGGCTCCAGAGCTTAGAAGGCTTTCTTGGGCAGGATGATACCCTCTGAGGATGCTCAGCTCTGTGCCCTTCCCCGGGGCCCCCAGAGAATCAGCCCAACCAGTCTTAGCTGCCAAGGAGCAGAAGCTGCGGGAGGAGGCCAGGCCTGCCAGACACCAGAGCAGGAGCCAGGGGTCGGAAGTCATCCCGACAAGACCAAACACTCCACAGTGCCCTTGGCCACGGCCAATCTCCAGCAAGGGAAGCTGGCTTCCGTGGACTGAGGGTGGGTGCGTGGAGTCCCTCCCAAGACGCCCTCCCCAGCCCCAGGCAGGCAGGCAAGCTGGCACAGGTACTGGCTAGCAGCCCCTGGAGATGGGGTTGGGGCAGCCCTGCCACTGCTGTGGGTTCAGGCCCCACCCTGAAACCCATTAAACCGATGTGGGCCCCTCCCAGCCAAGAGTGCGGGGGATGGGGTCACAACCTGGCAGGTGGCAGCACGTGGCACGCTCAGGGCTCCTTTGGGGGAGGGATTCTTTGAGGGCAGCGGGAGACTTGGCAACAGGAGACCCAGAGCCTCTGGGGCTCCTGTGCTGTCACCCTTCCTTGCCTCCTCCAGGCACATCCATCAGACGCGTGTTGTTTTTTATTATTCAAATCACACGTGATCATCAAAGATGTAAATGTGACAGAAGAGGGAAAAGTCGGAGAGGATGGCCCCCCACCGGACCACCATTGACAGCCCACTGTGACATTCTTTTCGATACACAAGTAGTCCCCTCCCCTCTGCTTCTAATGTATCCTAAGGGGTACATTGCCGCCCAGACTTCCCCTCCATCCGGGTTCACATCTCCCTCCTCCTTCCATATCCCAG